AGGAGGAGGAGGAGGAGGAGGAGGAGGAGGAGGAGGAGGAGGACCACCACCACCACCACCAAGCTACAGTGACAGGTATTTGTAGATAACCTGGCCTTAAACCTGTAAGCCAAGCTCAAATCTCCATTCCACACCCATGCAGTAGGCTAACAGATTTTTTTGTGGAGCCTGGTCCCCTTGAATATTTGAGCACATGAATTTTTTTTAAAGTGTTTTGTGTTTCCGACTTGGTTACCTTCATGGCCTTGTGCAGCCTCTCTGCAAAGAAAGCCGGTGTATTTTTCATGCACTTAACTGCAAAAAGAAATTGAGATAACACATTAGTGACATTTAGTAAATTCATATAGGAAAGTACAGTAACTTCAAATGAAACAGCACACTTAATGATGTCATTTCCCATTTATGTAACATTTTGATTGATCAAAATGCTCTAAATGGATTCTATTGTAAGTTGTATAGTAACTCTGAGAGTTAAATCAGTTGTTTTATGCTTAGGGTGGGGAACACCCAAGGTGAAGAGGACAGGCCATGCCTACAAAGGACCTCATATTCATGACAAAAATCTCAAGAACTCCTGATTCAAAGTTAATTCTTTGCTGGGCACCATCAGCTCTAGCTTCCTCTCTTATGATGGCTCCCAGGCAGAACAAAGATTTAAAAAAAGCTTGCCATTAGGAAATAGGGAACATTATAATTAACCAAGGAGTCCTAATTTTGAAAGTCTTGAAAGGATAAGGAATGACCTTCTGCTTTGCCAGTGAATCAGCCATGGGACTAACTTAGTCATCAACACTTAGAATTACATTTAACTACATCTAACCGACAAATCTGGGCATTGCACAAAAATGCCATTGTATCCCACAGGGCAAAGATGAAGAAGTCCCAAGAATTATCTGTACCCTAGGAGCAACAAGATGATTTTTAATGTGTGTGGATACTCCTATCTTTAAGCATCTTCATAGCATCACCCAGCCATCACGAAAGTAACAAAACCTGCCCTCATTTTTGTTATCTTGGCCCAACTCTGACTGGATGATTCTAGAAGACGCCATCAATGCCTTGTGCACAAATGGCCTTAACACCATTCTTTTTTTCAACAAAGGACAAAGCAAGATCAGCCAAACATATGGAGAATTTCAAAGGACCTTCCCCAATTGGGAGGGAATGAGCCACAAAGCCAGCACCAACCATGCTGGTTGTGGACAAGAGGGTCTGTAGCTTGATGCTCCTGGATGGGAGCTAGGCTGGGCGGAAGTGAAAGAAGGAGAAGCTGAGGTGAGCTAACGAATCAAACTAAAGAGATGGATATGCAGAAATATGCCAAAAAGGATACGAAGAACCATCTTTTAGGTCAAAGTTTCTCAGCTTCAGCCACTTTAAGATGTGTGGACTTCAGCTCCCAGAATTCCCAGCCAGCACTGGAAGCTGAAGTCCAAATATGGACTTAAAGTGGCTAAGGTTGAGAAACGCTGTTCTAGATGGTAAACACACAATCATGCACACAAAGAGACACTCTTCAGCTTCTCCCTTTTGTCCGGAAAATGTTCATGGAAATGGAAAGGACCAAGGCAAATATTCACTGCAAACATACACACAGCATGCTCCTTTTTCATGAACCATGTTGGAATGGATCATATAGATGAAGACAGCACAGGTTTAACTTCCACACTAGCTAATGCTAGAAATGAATTCAGCCACTGCTTACAATTACCAGATACACAATCCTTAATGAAGCCAAAGAAAAGCACAGATTTTTCATTAGATTCAGTAGGCAGGGCAGAAAAGCAATGAAAAACATTGTTATAGGACAATCATGGAGCATTTATATAACATATTTCAAATGTCCAAAAATGCTTCATATATAATAAATATTTCATTAATCCATAGGGAAGTCTTGTGGGGGTCACAATTATTATACCCATACTGCAGATGAGAGGTGGAAAACAGGCAACTTTCTTAAGGCTAGCACTTCAGTGGACACTTCTTGATTTCATGGCTTAAATCACTTTCCTAGATTAAAGTAAATTCTAACTCATGGTAGAATACAAAGGAGTATTACCAACAAAACAATTATAGCACAGAGAGTCTCAGAAGTCAAATTGCAAATCAAAATTATAGTTATACAAATGTCACAAAAGACATGGTCATCTACAGAATCTATCTTCTGGTTTTCTTTTTTTACAGAATGATCAGAGGAAGATTCCCTTCTAGAAGCTCACATGTCTACAGTGTCTTTCTGCTTTGGTGCACTGAGATTTTGGGGTTCATCATTTCATATTTAAGCACTTTTTATTAAAGTTGTTTCGAAACAAAACCGTTGCTAAGGCAAAAGGTTTCCTGCCATCCAAGAAAATACCCTTAGTACGGGGGGGGGGGGGGCACACTCTTTGCAGTGGTTTTTTTTTTTTTTAAAAA